GCATCTGGCAGATCCCAGCTCTTTTTTCACAGCTGCCTGGGCTGATCCATCCAGCCCTTCCCCAGTGGCTGCTTTGTTAACTGAGCTAAGAGCATCTGGCTCTGCTAACTCAAACAGACATTCCCCCCTTCCCGAGGCTGCAGCTCTTCCGCTCCTTCCTCTCCCTAAAATGTCTTGCAGATGGAGCTCAGCTGGAATTATTTATGGGACCTGTTACTTCCAATTTGTTTCCAGTCCTTGCTGTCAAACATTTGTTGCCTTGGCTGGAAAATCAGCTCCGTGTCTTGTGCTACCTGAGCTCTGCTATGGCTTCAAATCCTCCCTTATCCAAGGGAAAAGATCATTTCATTGCTCACAACAAAGTGAGTGGGGTATGAGAGCACCTGAAAATCCTGGCATGGCCTTCTCCAGCTCTCCCAGTTTCTCTTCACCACGAGGAGGTGCAAAGAGGTGTAAGTGTGACCGTGTTCACAGGGGTCTGAGGATGAGGGAAGAGATGAGGATCTGACTCCATGTTTCAGCAGGCTGATTTATTATTTTATTATATATATTATATTAAAACTATACTAAAAGAATAGAAGAAAGGATTTCATCAGAAGGCTAGCTAAGAATAGAAAAAGAATGAAATGATAACAAAGTTTTGTGTCTGGGACAGAGAGTCCGAGCCAGCTGTGATTGGCCATTAATTACAAACAACCACGAGACCAATCACAGATGCACCTGTTGCATTCCACAGCAGCAGATAATCATTGTTTCCATTTTGTTCCTGAGGCTTCTCAGCTTCTCAGGAGGAAAAATCCTAAGGAAAGGATTTTTCACATAAGATGTCTGCGACAGTTTAAGTAATATAGAGGCCAGTTCCTGGTTCTTGGAAACAATTCCTACATTTGGGAGCTCAAAATCCTTGGGATTTAGGATATTTCTCCACAGCCAGGTTGCAGCCACAGTACCCAAACAGATTCTTGGGATGTATGAAGAGGCAGGAGGATGAAGGAAGGGATTATTCCCTTGTTTTACAGCAGATGTGGAGTTTCCTGTCCAGCTCTGGCAGAGATGTCAGGAGAACGGAGAAAATTCAGGTTTTGCTTTACACCTCTGCAGGTTCTGGGATCCCCCTTCCCCACCTCTGGCTCCAGACCCTCTGTGGGGAGAAAACTGGGGGGAGAACCAAGGAACCAGAGGGATTTTCCAGCAGTCCCGTTGCTCCATGGGCCTGCAACCCTTAGGGATGCTGCTTGTTTAGCAGGGAGGGGAGAGAACCATGAAATTCCCAATGTTCTGCTTTCCTGGAGGATAAAAATCTCCAGCACTCCATGAAACATCCCTAAATTCTTCATTTCAACTGAATTAGAAATGGGAACTGAGGGCAGCACTCAGATGTCAGTCCTGGTGCAGAAATCCACTTCGGGATGGCTCCTCCTCATGGGATGTCCCTTTCCCTTTCCCTTTCCCTTTCCCTTTCCCTTTCCCTTTCCCTTTCCCTTCCCAGCATTTCTTTGAGGGTGTCAAGGCCCGCCTGGCCCAGGGGGTGAAGGAAGAGGAGCTCAGTTTCCAGCTGGCCTACAGCAAGCAGGAACTGCGGAAAGTCATTGAAAAATATCCTGGCAAGGAAGTCAAAAGGGCCCTGGAGAGCCTCTACAGGACAATGCACAAACATCTGTCCCCTGAGGGAAATCTGCTGCCGGTAACTGGAGTGGGATGGGTGTGACACTGGGATGGCTGGGATTCAGGTTGGGTGGCTGCAGGGGCAGGGGAAGGGGCTGA